TATAGAATTTTATATATATATATATATATATATATATATATATATATATATATATATATATGAGCCCATAGGAAACCTCTTTATGCAATTCCTGCTTCTAAACATGACTTAAGTTTGTTTTTAGTTAAGCATCAGATACATTATTATTCAAGCCTGTGATACATGTATGAAAACTTCTGACTGCAACTGTATGTTAGGATAAAGAGTTCCACACATCCTATGAGTCAAAGATTAAACCTCTGATGCGTTTTTTTTTTTCATTTCTGACGCTAAAACATATCTGCTGGTGTCTGCTAATCATTTGCTGTAAACACAGAAGATTACTAGAAACAAAGAGAAGAAAAAAAAAAACCCAAAACATCACAAATGTTTTCTTGCAATTTGCTGAAGCAGCCTTTGCCCTTAAAACAATTCTATCAATTTTCCTTTGTTTTGCCATTATTGCTTTCACAATAGTTATTCCAATGCAGCGACACTTACAGGAAACCTAACTGGTCTTAATAAGTGTTTTCATTTGTTGTCAATTATTCTGTGAGGGCTTATTAAGATCAGTGTGAACACGCAAAGCAGATGCAGTCTAATTATTTTAGTAGAGAACAAGAAAGCAAAGCGATCAAACCAAAGAACCACAAAAATGTTTCATGTTACTGGGAATGAATTTTAGTAGCTGAGCTACAAAGATCGGATATTACCACAGATATTTGGTCAGAGCAGAAATATTTTCTTTTACAACTGGTTTCATTTGATTGTGGCATGAAAGGAGTAGTTAGCAGCTGAAGTGAAAATCAGACCTTTTAAGCTTTTATTAAAAACAAACTAATTGCTGATCTTTCTCCATGACGGGAGGGATTTTAAAGAAAAGAAAGAGGATTACTATTTAAAAGTTTAGACTAGCTTTGGGCATTTATTGATAAAATGCTACTCATAAGTAGAATTTTGAATAAAAAGTAAAAAATTCCAGAAACGGGGTGAATCGACAGAATTTTTTTCTTACTATTTTTCTTCTTTTTTTATTTTTTATTGAGGCATTATTAATTTTAGAGAATATGATCGGATGCTCTTACTATTAGATGTTTAGTCATATAAATCATACTTTATTTGTAACTGGTGTCCTGAAGAAGACAAATCTAAATGGTGTAATATTCACGGCTTTTATTTGTGATTGTGGGGCTATGATGGCTGTGGTAAGAAGTCACAGGCATATAAAACGGTGAGAAGGAATAAAGAAGTAATTTTTTCTTTTTTTTGTTATTTGGAATTTTATTGCCATCTAACCAAATATAACATTTTAAGTGCATCTCACCCAGCTCCAATTCAGACTTGGGTGAATTTCAGTACAGAATCTAACTGGGTCTCCTCACAGCTTAAAAAATATATCAGTAACCTAAACTGGTCAAAACAGCTTAACTGTAAATTAGGGTTGTCACGATACTAAACTTTTTAACTCGATACCGATACTAAGGAAAATATTCGATACTCGATACCATTTTCGATACCACAAGGATAAAAACAAAGACTCCAAAATTCAACAGAAATATTTTCATTAATAAATAAAATACAATAAATAAACACAATAAAGGTTGTATGCTGTGCATAATATTATGCAAGCTTGATAAAAAACTTATAAAATTCAAATTAAGTTTTCCTTACTTGGCTATGCTTTGCACACATAACAATGACACTAGCCAAACCAGTTAAGAAACAAAACTAAGTCTTAGCAGCTGCACCTCTTACAAAAAAAAAGTCTGAAACTGAAAAGTGCACAGAATTATTTAATCACACAGTGTTCAGAAAGTGCATTGTCCTCTATTCTGCACTTTAGATGAATGACTGCTTAGGTGCCACTGGTGGTGGCACTGTATCGATACTTTTAAAAACGAGTATTGTATCCGGATACAACGTTTCAGTATCGATACTTTTTTGAGTTTCGATACTTTTGACAACCCTACTGTAAATGATGTTTTGTGATAAAGGTGTTTTAGGAGGTGAATGAGAAATTATTGACCAAAAGAAATTTTTCTGATCCTGATGGATAAGTTAGGCGCACTGCAGGTTCATCAGAGCAGCAATTTCGGATCTTAAACACAAAAAGCTGATTTTGTTTTACAAAATTGGTTAATTAAAAAAGCATTTAAAACATTTTTATGATGATTTTTTTATTCTAATATGGGTACCTGTAAAGATCCCAGAGTGGATTCCTGGTATTATTGGTCTTGAAGCAAAGTGGGCTTTATCTCTGTGATGACGAAGATATCGCTCTCTCAGGCGGTACTTTTGGCCCACGGGTTCCTTTGTTTCCTCGGACTCAGGCCGTTTCCCTCTGTGCTTGAAGTGACCCTCTCCATTCCTAAACAAGAGGTCCAGATCAAACACGGGTTTTCATGAACGAAACCAGAGCTGCGTTTAAGACAATGACTGCTGGATTAGCGGACACACCTTTCACAGGTGCAGCATTCACACATTTCGTTGCCTTCACCAAAAAAGCTGGCGCCATAGTAACACGTGATCTCCTCCCCAGGCGAGATGGGTCGGATCACCTCCACACAGGCAATGTTTTTCTCACCGGGGAGAAACTTGGCAGGTGCAAAAGAGGGGGAAAAGCCGATTAGACAAAGGTTGGTCGGCCCCAAAGGGCCCAACAACGACTGAGGTGTCAAACAAAAAAAACAAACAAGAAAATGAACAAAGTAAAAGGACAGGTTATCAATTTATTACCTTGCAATTTGGTTTGCAGTCTTCAATCCAGCAGGGCAAAAACAATAAAAGAGGGAAAAATTAAACAAATTCCAGTTAATTAGCACACAACATACATGGTAGTTAAGGTTAGCAGGTTAATACTCAGAGATATCTGCAACAAGGAGGAAGAAAACATAAAAAAAAGAACAAAAAACTGAAAAATAAATTTCAAGATAAATAAATAAATAAGAACAGTCATTCTTAACAGGTTTAATGACTAATGATGACAGATGAAATCTAATTTTAATCAGGTTTTAGATTCAGATAAACCTTTAAGCATATGACACAATAGCCCACCCTCCCCTATTTCAGGAACGGTAGTTTGGTTAGAAAGCAGACATCCTGAGTAAAACTATTCGACTCTGTAATATTCAGGATTTCAGGATGATCATCGTATTTAACAAGGGTTGAAAAAAAATATCTATATCTATAATCAAAAGCTGTATCTAGATTAGATACTAAGATGCAGGATATTTATACAAAAGATGTTTGCATAATTTTTCTAGTGTTAATTTTAGATTTCAGGATATTTGTACCTTAAACGAATCACATCAGAAAAACCTTAAAATACTCTCAAATTGTCTTACATCTTTTTTGTTTTTATTTCGCATCCATTTGCACACATATTGAAACATATTTGAATATTTCAAGACAGCATGTTCCATGTTGAAAATGGAAAAGGATTTTTTTTTTATCTAAATATTTTTATGTCTTTATTTAGATGTCATTTTCTGTCCATGGTATCATAAATTTTATCCAGTTTGAGATTTTGTTGTCTTGACAACCCTATATTTATCACAAAGTGAAGCTTTTCCTGTTGCAAATTATGCATCAATTGAGCTTGAGGGTGTATCCTCAATGTTACACCTAATTAAAACATTTTTTTAAATGTGTCTGGATGGGCACATGCAAAATGCATATAGGCGTGACAGGAGCAGTAAGCAAGATAAAATGTAAATATACTGGTAGATCCGGTCAGGTCCACTTATCAGCTATTGTTTTCACTTTACTAACTGGTTTACACAGGATTCATTGGCTTTATTCAACAAATAGATTTGTTTATATGCATGATGATAGACCTTGGTTCCTAACTTTATATAAATATAAAAAACGAACAGACATGCAGGTGAAATTTTATCACCCCATCTCTAAATCCTGCTGTAAAACTGAAGTATAGGGTATGGTTATAGGAAAACATAGAAACATGTTAAACAAAAGGAAGACATATAGAAAGAATTTAAAACTAATTTTAATTTAGTAAAGGAGCAGTGAATTTGACTGACATCTATGCCTTCTATAGGCCTGGAAACAAAAAAAATATGTAAACAGATAATTCTTTAAGTCTTTAAATGTGACAGAGGCTGAATTATTTCCCTTTAGCTTCAGTAATCTGGATTTTTCTTTTTTCCTTGTGAAGGAGAAAAGGGGTGTGTATATAATCTTTTTTAGATTGTGAGCTACTTATTAATCACCCTGATCTAAAGTCCAACTGTTGGGAGGTTTAGGGGATATATTTTAGAGCAATACTTGTGTTCAACCACTGGCCTTTTAAGACTGTGCAGGCTTGTTTTCTTATGCTGCTTCAGCTGTGACACAAATCTTCCTTGTTGGCTACCTGAAGGCTGCAGAGGAGCAGTGACATCATTGGACCAGTAGAGGATTGTCAAGCTAATCAGATGTTGATGAAGCCCACCTGCATCATATAAAAGGCTCCTGAAAGCTTTAATTTTGGGGACAGCTTGTAGGAAGAGGTTTTGTTAAGCTGTTCCTTTGGTGTTTCCAATTGCTTAGGGCAGTTTGAACTCTTTGCTCTCGCTTGTTCAGTATATTTTTTAATCTGCTTTAGGTGGACTTTGTACGCTTGTGTTTGGGAGGTTTGGTGCTCCCTTTGTCTTTTCTTTTGGGTTGAGTTAAACTTAAACCGACTTGTTTGGACATTCTGTAACTTCATTTGCACTTAAACATTCTTGAATTTGTTCCCCCTTTTCTTTTGTTTTAATTGGGTTAAGTTGTATCGTGTTTTGGTTCTGTGAAACCATCTTTTGTAATAAATAATTTGACATTCCACTTTTTTTCTATGGACACATTTTTATGTTACCTCCCCAAAACCCGTAGACCTTGGTGGTGTAACAATTTGTTATTTTAATACCTGACTATATCATTAACAACTATCATCACAATAATCACCTCTAAGAATCCTAACAAATTTCTGTCTATCGCCCCTCACTGTTGGAAAACTAAAGCACCCCCACCAGTCTTATTTAAAAGCTGTGAGGATCTGCTGCAGCACAGAACCTGCTTAATTAACCTGCTGATAGCGGCTTCTTATATATAAGATGCTCTTTAAAATGCAACAACAATAAGGGCAGCGTCCTTTAGCATTACTGTATTTCTTCTAATAAAATAGGAATAAATAAACACTTTAGGCAACATCTTTATAGGTGCAATATTGATTTCTATTTAATCTGGCAGTAGTAGTGGTATTGTTTTCTTTGAGTTGATTAACTGACCATGAGAAGGACATTTTCTTCTAATCCAACTTGAGAAAAATATCACTACATGAAATTTGAAGTTTCTCCAGTGATCAAAGCCAGAATAACAGACGTAGGAAACCCAATCCTCTCACGGGATCAGACACACGCTGAGCTCACCGTGGTTGATGAAAGCCGCAGGCCCGAGCCACAGCTGAGCACAGCGCTTGCGTGTTGAGTACATCACGCTAAAGTCGTTGACCCCCGCCCGCAGCACGGCGCTGTCGGCGGGGCTCAGCTCCGCTATGCAGCCCAGTAAGACCTCCACGCGTTCTCCAACAAACCTGCAACACAAACAGTTGCTCAAAGCTGTGGTGTAATATTTCCAGGCAGGAGATAGCGCTGTCACTGACTGCTAGAAGGAGGGGTAATTACCAGTGCCTGGTGGCTGTTATCTTTGCTCCGTTGGTCTCTGATGAGTATCTGTCACATGGCTCTATCTTAATCCCACTATCCAGCAGGAAGGCACTGAGGTAGCGATAGACCTGAGGCCACATGTAGACACAGATGAGGCAAATTAATGCTAGCATTAGTAAACAAGCATGAGTAACTTGGTATACATCAATCGGCTTGCACACATGTGCTGAGTTTAAGTACTGGTGCAAAGCCGGTTCATCGGGGCCTGGCAGTTTATCATCTTTAATCAGGAGCGATAAATTCCAGTTATTCAGACTGTCTTCCTGTGATTTATAGCACATATGCATCCCTGAACCAGAGCTTCTCAATAGATGAATTACCTCTCATTCTTTTATCCAAACTCTGCTGATAACCTAAATATTTGAATTGGATGTATTTGAGGAAGATGCACATCTAAAATTTGGAAGGGTTAGAAAATACAGATGCATTCTGTGACAACCAAGATTCAAAGTCCTAGAAATAAAAAAACCTGTTTTTGGCGCTGACGGAGTGAAAAAAAGACCAACAGGCACAAGCAAGATAAACTGAAGGTGCACCAATTTATACTTTGAAAACATGAAACCTTTTCATATCTGGGAGGCTCGAGACGTAAATCTTTCAGTGTCGGTTTAGAAAATGATTTGATGGTTGCTTTTAAAACTCCTAACACCTTGGAACTAAGTGTTGCACACATTTACCTTCATCTTTTCCAGTTTTTAACTCAAAATATTTACCTACAATTAGTTTAAGTGACTTTAGTTCTAAAAAAGCACAACAACAAAGACGTCTTCAGATTCTTAAGTTATAAGCGACTTTTTTATTCCTTTTAACATCTTTTAACACATGTGTTGTCGCAAAACTCTGTAATATCTGAGCAATCAACACCAAACTAAATACTTATTCTTTAATGCCTTTAATTTGTCTGCCAGATTTGTTATTGTTTTAGCTTCTTTTCCCTTTATTGGCTCCAGTTTCAACCCCTACTATTAGCTTAACGCCTTGAACGATCTGAAACGGTGCAGTATTTAAAGACTGTATTATCTCTAAACTTTTTTCTTTTTTTTTACCGACTAAAACCCCCCAAAAAATAAGTGTATTGGTGGGGCATAAAAATAGAAATATCTAATTTAAATTGACATAAACACAACAGTGATTCTTTGTTGTGGTTTTTACAATAATAATAATTTTTACAGGGTTTCAAAGTTTTTTTTCATGAAACCTACATGTTGTCTCAGCAGCTCCTGCCGGTGGCTCCCCAGGGCGTTGAAGTAGTCCCCTGCAAGCTCGCCGACAGTCAGCGCCTCGAATGTGGCGTTGAAGTCGTGCGTTCTCTGAAAACGCAACAGGGTCTCCTTGAGAATACCCCACCGTCTGATCTCCGGTGCCGGACTAGAACAGAAATCATGGGTATTTAATAACAATACATGAGCGACGATAAAGAGATGGAATCAAATTAGATCTCAAGTCTGATATAAATCATTAGGGGAGTGTTTGTAAATGGATGCTGAAACGATAAAAGAAGGATAACAAGAGTAAGAAAAGCTGCCATAACATACAAAGACACAATGTTCAACATTACAGGATTTTTATTTCTTTTTTAAATTAACCAAAAAATCTGTTAACTGACGTTTTCAATTATCTGTATTACAGAAATAAGATGATTTTAGGCTGAAGCAAATGAGATAAAATTATTAATGTTTTTAATGATAACATACAAGGTTACAACAACAACATTAAAACTGCTAAAGTGATTTATTTTCCACACACAGACCAAAAGCATGAGGTGGTAAAGAAACAGTGTTATTTCAGCTACCAAAGAGCATCGAGTCTCAGGACCTTTTACCCGATCAAGGACACCATTTTAAGACGTTTATTTTTTTATTTTGTCATCCAAAAAAACAGCAACACACAACAAGTCTTTTGCTTCTATAAGCAGCAACTACCTCGATCTGATAGATCTGGGCCTCAGACTGGTCTGATTTGTCTGCAGTACCAGCTGGTCCTATTTGTTCACTGTTTGACTACATGAAAATTATCACATTTATCACTACTACAAATACAACCAATAATTTTCTCACGTTCGTAAAATAAAATATGTGTAGGATTTATGTATAGGAAATCTGAATAATTGAGCAGACTCGACTCATGCAACACCTACACTTCATAGCATTTTTAACAACAAACTGACAAAACTGAAAACTATGATAAATGTGCAGACAAATAATCAATATATTTGACAGGTTAGCAAATGTTTTCCTAACCTGAGCAAAACCAAACATCCATCAAAACCGGGAAACAATGCTGCCACCACCTTCAACTCATATTGTTCTCCAGAGGTGATGTTAAACAATAACACAAATCTATTTTTATTAGTAATGAGTGTAAGTTTTGGTATAATAAAGATTTGGGCACTCAGTGAAATACTTTAAGAATCAAAATTTCACTTGAAAAAATGTCTAGAAATAAGTAAAAAAAAATCTTAAATTGAGTGGATTTACCCTTATTTTTAGTTGGTAAATTAGATAGTTTACCAATGGAGTGAGTATTTTTGCTCTTAAAATAGGATAATTGGATAACATGCACTTAAAATAAGACTATTGAGGTTGTGTTTTCTTATTTTAAATGTAAATTGTCTTCTTCCAATAGCAAGATGTCTCTCTTTTGCCTCCTCAATCCAAGAACAAATGCACTTATTTTAAGAAAAAAAAAAAATGACTCATTTCAATTTCTTCCAGTGTTCAAGCCAATAGTGTTATTGGAATCTAGGACAAGACGTTATTACATTTGTAACACAAAAAAAATCTGGATATTTTGATGGCAGAAATTAATATCAATGTAAAAAAAAGAAATGCCAACTTGCCCGAATATATTAAGAGAAATAACAAAAGTGCTTCTATAAGAAACTCATGAAAAACACTCAGAGTGAAAGAAACACATTTTTTTGGTACAGCATAATCTTAGAGGCATCAAACCTAGATATAATTGTTACATAGGCTTATTAGCTTTTTACCTTTTTTTCTTGACTTTTTAACTTTTTTTAAACTTAATTTACAGTAGGTAATATATAATTCAAGGGCTCATCTAATTGGTCAAATGCCAAAATAAGATGTACAGCCATGTAGCAGAATCTTTGCTGAGAGGCTGGATATAGATCTTGTGCTTCTAGATTTCACTGAGGGACAGGGGGAACGCCATTTGTAAGGGATCTGCAAGTGATCACAAACGCTAACTTGCCATATAAAGGGTTAAGCCAATAACATTTAGAGGTTTTTAGATCAGATTTCCCCACAGATTTCATAATTTCAGCACCTGCACTCCTTCATTTAGCATCATTTGACATCTTTATGTAAACCTGCACTCTTGCTTTTAAAAGCTGCTCCCAACACACGAAAACGAAAGTGTTTGTTACGGCTTTAGATTACCTGATGTTCATTTTATGGGTGCTGAAGCCCAGAAGCGGGTCCAGCACCAAACTGGTGGCCAGGTCATCGGTCTCACACAACTCCTTCACACTCATTCTAGTGCAGCAGTCCATTGCCTCCCACCATCAGCATGCTGCAAAAATAGCAGAGGTCAAGGAAAAGAAACAACAAAACAAAACAAAAACAAAAAAGCGATTAGTTTTCTGGTTCATTTCTGCACATCCAGCTTGCAGAGAACATCATATTCCCAGTGCGCCAGTTATACTGGTTTATATGCTGAGGACAGTCGCACACAATCTCAACAAGCGGTCTGTTGTTTACCTTCATTTGCGTGTTTCAGCCTTGGCATAGCGGCATAATAACAGGGTGATTAATGTCCAGTTAGTTTCTGTGTGCTATTTACTCGCTGTGGTCTGATAAGAGGAGGGAGGAGGCTTTGCATTTAGCGGCCTGTAGCTAACGGGACGTTACTGCATCATATAGCTAATAAATTATACAAATTCTGGTTGGATATTTAAAGCAGCATGCTGATTTAATATTGCTAAATCACATACGCACCTGGGAGCCTTTTGTTGTCGACGAAAGTACCGCCAGGTAGACAAGTTATCGCCTGGAAGCGAGAGTTAGCCTAGCAACCGAAAGTAGCTAGCTTTCCGCCGATCAGCTGCAAACGAAAATGGAGTCTGCTCGAGACTCCGAGTGCTAGCTGGTTGACTAGCGTTAGCAAAATATGTCCCGATGAAAACACAAGAAAGTAGAGGTGCACAACATTCCAGTAAAACTAGATTTGTTTTGAAAATGTATTGCAAATTAGCTTTTAAAAATCTCGTAGAAAAAAAAAAAAAAGTTGATGAGAAACCTCCAGCACAACCAAACTAGTAGTGGCCACGCCCACCGACTTTCCTATTTGGGAAAGCTAACTTCAATTACGCAGAGGAAGAGTTTCCAGCTTTCCTATTGGTCAGTTTGTAGGTGGGCGTCACCACCAATCCGAGCTGTGTAGTTCCCAATCTCAAAACCGTCCCTTAAACACTACCCCTTGACAATCAAGGCCCAGTCTCAATACTCGCACTACAAGCTGTGCATACTTCATTTACGCATTCCCGCTGAGGAATTCGAGTGCGTAGAGTGCAGGGGCGGAGCTAGATGGAGGGCCAGGGGTGGCCATGGCCATCCTTAGCCAATCATACCCGTACCATTATTTCCCTGTAATATAGATGGTGGCAAACAATATTCTCTGGTGGAATGTTGTAACTTATTTAACATTTTAATTCTTCATATATTAACAATTACCTGAAAACAAAAACCTGATAGTTAATTATGCTCATTAATATGCTCTTTTCAGAACTAGATTTTGCCTTGTATGAGGTAAAGAGAAAATTATTTCTCTGCAAGTCATCTTCTAGTTTCCAGTTAAATATAAATAATTTAATAATAATCAATTTAATACAGATATTAGTACATCTAAAAGTTAATTTTATGCAGAACAATTATTGATACAAGTATGTTACTAATGACAATAAATAAGATCTACACCTTTAATTTAATCTACACCTCTACACCTTTAATTTCGACAGCATGGATGTTTAAATATATGTGTCTATTTGTTAGCAAAAGGTTGTAGGAAAGTATAGTTAGTCTTTATTTAGAAAATATGGATGTTTTTTGCTCGTTCATTTTCCATTTGGAACAGTGTAGATTGACCCTGAGGTTCTGGCATCTGTCTGCTTTCAGCCACCCATCAGTTTACATTTGGTAATTGGCGTTTTAAATATAAAAGCATAAATGCGCTTTGCTGTTTGAATTTGATGAACATAAAATTCCCTGTAAATCATCCACAAATCACAATCAGATAGTTTTTGTTCTCTAAGGTGAAATTCAATAATTCATCTTCTCAAGCTCGGTTTTATTTATAATCTAGTGGATTATTTGCAACAAAAAGTGAATTTTCATTAAAAAAATGCTGTATAAGAGCGTAGTTAGTATTTCAAACACATATTTGCCAATAAATGTACGATTTGATAATTAATCTATCAGAAAAACCTATTCTATTCAAGTATTATAAATAAGGACCATTACAGAAAAAATACCAGATTTAGTAACAGTAACCCTCAATACTGACTTTAAACATATCAAATGGCCCATTTCTCCAAGAAATAGAAGAAAAAAAAAAATTTTAATTACAAAGCCAAACAAATATTACATGCTTGTAATACATTTCATAGAAGAGATTCAGATTTTAAGCTGATGAAGTTCAATTACAAAGTTCAGAATCTCCTGTATTTACTGAGTATCTTCTAGTCTTACATTACACAACTGAATTAGCTCACAGATTCGACATTGACAGTTTATCCTTTTGATTTTTAAATAATCATTGCTGTAATTAAAAAGGAGTTCTTCTTAAAATGTTTTTTTTTTATGTGCTTTACATAATCCTACTACATCTAAACAATGAAAACATTAATAGCTCTAAGTAAAATATGTTATGAAATGTCTGCATACCTTTTTTTTCCCCCCTAAAATGTCTTTATTGCAATTAGAGACATTTGAAGAGATTTAATTTCTCCAAATGCAGTTCTGAATGTTATATGATGCTCAGCATTACAGGGGACATGTAAACAGCCCATTTTCGACCCAACATAACCACTGTTAAAACGGTTCCAGGGGATAAAAATTTGTTAAGATATTCAATTGGTATGCATTAATAAAACTAATAAGTAATGTTAGTAATTTTTATTTTTCAAACTTTGTGTATTTTAATACACAATGCATCACTAAACATGTTTAAACGCAAAGATGTGATCATTATATGCCTTTGCAAACAGTTGGTTGTATGGCATCAAGCTACCTCGAAACAGATAATATTCTATATTGAGTGTCAAACATTTATGGTATCGCATGACAGTGGATATCAGTTTTGAAGGTTCATAGTAATGAGGCGGCACATCCGGCTTGCTCAGTCATGCCTGACAGCACTACTGGTGCTGCTGGCGCATTTCCATTAATTACTTACACAAACAGTGAAACGGTTCAGAATCAGCAAGGCTAGGAGCAAAACCATCACATGCTCACTATGCAGGTGCCATGAATCTCCATCTGAGGGTTTTTAAAATGATTAAAGTAATAAAGAACTAATTATATATATTTTTTATTTATTTATAGTTTTTATTTTGTATTTGCTTTTGGCAGAGTTGCAATTAAACTTGCAAAAAAGAGATAATTTAGTCTAATCAAGCTGCTAATTGACCGTAGAGCAGTTTGCTGTTATGTAGATGTTTACTAGGAATTCAGTTTCCAAAGGTGTGGACAAGTTTCAACTGGAAAACAATCCAAAGTGGTGCCTCTGCATATCCTCAAATATTTCAGCACCCACAAACAGGAAGCTGCTGTGACCACAAATAGGGGGGGTGGGGCTGGTATCCAATCAGGAGTGCAACAGTACTCCTATGTAAAACAAGCAATTCATTAAATTGCATTGGTACACACTCTGAGAGCAAGAGGAGAAAGTTTATGTTGGAAAGCAGCTGATAGCAATTCCAGCTCACAATAGACATTTTAAAGGATGCATATCACATTATTAAATAAATAATATATAAATAAACAGGTTAATAAAAAAAATTGTACTCATGATTTATACTGATAAAGTGAGCACTGTGATTTCACATGTTAAAAAGTCAATCTGAACACATATTCTCCAGAACAGTGTTAGGGTTTCCTTTCTTCAAGAGATACAGATGTTAGCTGGAGCAGAGATGAACCTGGATGGTCTTTGACATACAGCCAGACCTACTATGGAGTGGTTTTATATTAATGCTAATTTAATATAAAAAAAAGTATTTATAAAAAAAAACACTAAACCATCCTATTTATGTAGAAGATGGATCCATATCATGCTTGAATAAAAAAAAATCATAAATCCCTCAGATTTTTTTTACTTTAAGAAAAAACAAAACAAAAAAAACAGCAAATTATGTATGTTTTTTCTCTATTTGTGTCATAAGCAGGAGGGCCATGGTTAACTCCTTTAAGATGCCAGTATTATTACATGGATCCATTTGTTTTTTAGAAACATTCTAACTATGTTTGTTGATCTATTTGCAATTAAATGAAACTAAAAGAAAAATATGATCAATAAACGGCTAAAATGTGTTTGATCTTACATTTTAATAAAGTTCTAATCTTATATAATCTGTATCATTAGAAAAAAATTGTACCCTAGTTTTTTTTTTTTTTTTAGTTGTGCATCTGCATCAATTACCTAAAATGGCAACTCTTAAATTAAGACATTCTAGAATTGTAATCCAAGGCTGATTAAAATTGTTTCAAGGGCCCCAAATGGCCCCTGGGCCACACTTTGGAAATCCCTCTTCTAGACTTGAATAAAAAAAAACAGTCTTAAAATTTCAGGTCTACCATTTCATTTGTGCTAAGCAGGTTCAAAACAAACCACTTAATACTTTCAGCTGACATTGCAACATTTTTGTGTTTTTTCCATCATATAAAGCATTAAGCATTTGCATTAATTCCATAAGGTTTGTATTTGTGTCGTGTTACATTTCATTACTGAAGAGGGTTGAATACATTGGAAAAGTACAAAGTCCCTTTTCACATTATATATAGTTCAAGATGCAAAAAAGACCCAAACACAAATATACAAATTCTATATTTATTTCTACGTTGAGACAGAGATGAAAACAAAAAGATATACAAATAAAAATGCCATTGTTTTTTTTTTCCTAATCCTATAATTGTAATGGATCTAAATCTACCCAGCAACAGTGCATGGTGCAAAAACATCCCTGATTGATTAAAAAGATCCTACCCCCATTATGCTTATAAGTTACAGAAATAAAATCTATTAAAAATGAAAGACTGAAAGCAGATTATTGGTGGTAATCGGCATAAACAGAAAGGTGAGAAATGTTTGAAGCTGCGGTTTGTACAGCTATGAAAAAGCAACGACGAAAGTGGACGTTAAGTTCTGCAGGTTTCGTAAAAATGTTTTTTACTGATGGGAGCACTGCAGTTATCTTCACTCTGTACACTGAAACCTGCAGTCGTTTACACACTTCCTACACAACGGATAATTGAACATTACTCATACTTTGGTCAAATTTAAATACGGTCACTTTGAATGGGAACTCATTCGGACCCATTTTTCTGCAGCACTTCAGCTAATGCATGCAGGTGTAGTATGTAGAGTTGGCTGGCCTGTATATTAATTCAGTCTCACTTCCTGAGTTGGTTTTAGATTCAAATCGAACATGTGCACAAAATAAAGTCTGATGATTTATTTATTTTCCCCACCAGACCTCTCAGGCACAAAACAAATCAGTCAGGAAAACTAGCATACAAAAAAAAAAAATGTTTAAAGTCCACTTTCTCTATCCTTATTGCCCTGCTGTCAGTCTATATGGTGCTCGCATTTGAAAAGACGTTTCAAAACCAAGGACAGTCGGAAGATAAAAACAAAATGGCAGCTACACTCAGGAGTGTTCATGGTGGTGGAAGTGGGCTGAAAGATAACCCTGAAACTCCATAGAGGATCATTTTACAATTACAGCATCCCTTTTTAAAGCAGGAATACCCTGTAAGATCAAATAAATGGGACACTTGGAAAAAAAAACAAAAGAAATCTCAGCCGAGGGGTCACAGTTCATTAATATGAATAATTAGATAGCATTTTTATTCAGTTTATGGCTCTTCTCCCACAGATGGAACACAAAAAACTGGGAACGTAGTTAGAAGCATTCAGATAGATTTCTTATAAAGCTATTTTTTTCTATATGTATTTACATAACACATACTTTGATTCCTTAAAGTTACTTGAAGTCTTTACATTTATCTTGAATATAAGTGATGGTTTAGAAGTTATGGTTTAAGCAATCCTAACAGAAATGCATTATTTTCTTTAAATCATAAAACATCGCACGTTCCCAGTTTCATGTGAATTTGTGCTCGTTTGTGCAAGATTTGAACCTGCATTGGGCGACTATGCTTTGGATGTGTTGAGTACTTAAGACATTACAAAAATAATCAAACATCTGGGTCATCAAAGAAAAGCCTCAAACCAATTTTTGTTTTACTGCTGCTTTGTCCATATATCAGTCGCACTGAAGCCACATATGAAAAGTCTAAACCTGTTCAGAATCTCGAGCAAAGTCACTGATATTAGTAATTTCATATCTATTAAAGGCAAGTCACAACAAATGAAGATCAGTCACTGACAAATAAGTGATGAGCATGATGATGTGCTTCAAATTAAAGGTTTCTTTTATTGAGCTTCAGCTTTGAATGAGCTAAAAACATAAGAAAAAAAAATAAAACCATTCTGTTGTCAGTATCTACAAAAACGGCGAAGAAAAGCATCTATAATCACATGATTGGTTCTGAAAATGGAAGAGGAAAATCAAATAAAAAAAGAATCCTCCCAGTTGGAGTCTCCTGTGCACTCGGTGTGCCGTTACCTTTGGATCTCCTCCAACTTCCCTGCCCTCCCACCACACAGACCTCCTATACATGTACAATAGCTTTAAACAGTCCCAGACTTCAACATAAAACGGCTAAAGCTCTCTTCTTCACGCCCAACCCCCACCGGCATGATTTACATGATGAACGGGCAAAAAACACTTGATACAAAACAAAAAAAGAATCAACTGGAAAATAGGACAACAAAAGGGAAAAAGTACATGAATACAGCAACTTCCTCTGGAATCATTCTCACTCTTTACTCGCATATCAACACACAAGGAAATAAAACACAAAGCAAAATAAAATGCGTTCAATTCAGAAAAAATGAAACAAAACTGACTGGACCCTGGTTGTTTTTGTTGCTGTTCAGTGCCAATGAAGGAACAAGTTTGGGAGGTAGAAAGGGAGGAAAGGAAGGAGAAAAAAAAAAAAAAAAGTGTTGGGCCGACAAAGGGTGCTGAATCGTAGGAAGGGGAACCGGCGGGTGTTATTTCTTTGCCTTGCCGGCCTTGGCTGCGTTCCGTGGAGGAGTGACGGGTCTTCCCAATCCCACACCTCCTCCTCCGCTGCCATAAGGATACAATTTCTTATCTGCTGGCTTCAAAATCTAAGAGACAGAAAAAAAAAAAAAAATTATTATAACAATCATTATCTTAAATTAAACCAGCAGACCAGATTAACTATAAATGCAAGCAGAATAAGGCTGCAGTATAATTTGCAACTTCTATATATTTTTTAACTTCAAATCCAGATCTGGGCCAGAAATAAAATGGAAAGACTCTGGATCATATATAAAAAAGAAAAGTATACCTCATTGAACTTTGTTTTTTTTTACATAATTTAATTGTTAGAAAAATCTTGAATTATTTGATGTATGGGATTCAGAATCGCTCAGTGTCCTCTTAAGGCATGAGGGATTCAAGGTTATGGAATTAGTACGTTTTTATTCATGCATATACAAGAGGCCAGAGCTCAAACTCTGTCTTTTTTACCACAAAACACAAGATAATATTACTGGCAGAGAAAATTAAAAGTTAAAGAAAGAGAAACAATTTGAAATGCCAAATATAACAAAAACGTATTCAGATGATAAGGTGGGTTTTTTGTGAGATTTCTCACATGCAGTTCCTCAGACAGATGCAGTCATGTAGGAAGGCAGTCATTCGGAATGCCCTCTGCTCACCCTTCCGCTGATCGGTCAGTTTTAGATACTTAAGAGATGTCCTTAAACCCCACATCAGACTCATAAGCTGCTCAGTGTTTGTGAAGCCACATGCATCCCTTTGGATCTCACTACGGTGTTTAGTCTCAGATCAATCAGTAACAAAATTAAAAATGTCTGAAATTTAAACAGGCAAAAAGCTCCATTAAATATGCCAATTAATGCTGTTCTACTAATTGGCTATTTTAACATCAGGCTGTTTTGATTTAACAAGATTTTTATTTTTGCAGTTCATTAATATAAGTGTTTTAAAAAAGCTAAGCTGATGGTTGACTGTACCGTTTTGAAGGCCCTTAATGATAAATTAAAAATATTTGGACGACAAAATTAAATGAGTTTGATCATTTCCATTCATATGCTTATGTTTTGCGGTATTCACACTGGTGCATCAGTCTGCACTCAACCCTTCCTTCTCGTTTCCTTAGTGTCAGGATGAGTTCATTCACGCATCAGGTACCTGCCAGACGCACGATGTCGTACTGTTATGTACCACAGAGTGTAACATAAGAGCCCTGTGAAGAGTAGCCAGTCAGTGAAATGGTAGTCGAGATTTTGAAAAAGAGATGGAATTGGTTTCAAAGCCAAACATGACAGCAGAGTTGGAGCACTTTGGATTTCAACCCAATGATGGCTCTAAACCAAGCGGCTTCTTTATTTATTCTATATTATTATTTATTCAAAAGCAGCAACTAAAAGCAGTAATACAAAAAAAAATTGGAGCTGCACCTCAAAACATAATCACTGTGCAGTTTTTACAACAGAGTGAAAACAACTAGCAATTGACTGTCTCAGAGTTTGAAATCGTTTTTATATGCCAAACCAAATACATTAAAGGCAGCAAAAAAAGGAGCCTTTAATATGAATAACCACAGAAAACACAACCGCCTTAAAGCACAGAATAAGACATAAGATCTGAGATTTTTTGGGTTCTCTGATTTCTATTTCTATCTCACAATTTTATTTTGCAGTTATAACATTTTATTTTTCATTATTGTTTTTGATTTATTTGAACATTAAAGCTTGACCTTTGAGAGGGCGTGCACCATTATGCCATTATTGGCATACAAAAGGACAGCATTATTGTTTAGTTCAGTAGTTTCTAAGAAAAATATTTGTCCAGGATAATTTCTTATCCCCAAAAGTCCAAAGTCTACAAATTTCTAAAGAGCTTTTCTAAAGATCTAAAAACACAAATGATGAAAGACCTTCAGAAAACAAAGAATGTGACTCATAAACACTTGAAAATCCACCACCTGAAAAGCAATGAAAAAAGGTTTTCACAAACCTGGAAGGAGCACATGAGGGTCTCGTCCACACTCATCATGGCACCAGCGTTATCAAACTCTCCACAGTAGTTGGGAGCTGAGAAAAGAGTGACGAGTTGCCTCTTTGCGAAAAACTCATAACCATCTTCAACCACCTTAAAAGAGAAAACTAGAGTCAGAATGTGTGAAAAATCAAAGATGCATCCATCTTTGTTCCAATTGTTAAATTATTAAACTAGTAGGATCCTTTTAATCCTATTGGTCTTTAGCGAGCAGATTGAAAATATTTTTAGAGTTGGTGCATCTAAAACCACAGGTTCATTGCAACAACTCCAGTCTCATGCAACACCTCCTTTCCTCGCTGGAACTATCATGACTTTTAAATATTGAACATGTGCTGCAAACCTTCATAATCCAAAGAAGCTTAGAACACACTTAAGCTTTCTTTATTTCAACGTCAAAAATCAAACCATTATTAGACCAGACTTCCCAGGGTGCATATTATGGTGACAATTTTAAACTTGACTGACTTGTGGAAACATTTCTACAGTTTAGATGTGTGGAAGAAAAACAAAACATTTTAGTCATATATACTGATTTTTGACTGCCTGATGTGAGCTTTCAGGTTTTACTATCGAAAAAAAAAAAAAAAAAAAAAAACTTTTTGGGCTACCTCTGCACTGCCACTCTGGTAGATAGTGCTGTTGACCAGCTTTGCCAGCAATGCAGCATCATATCTGTAGTTGAGGCAGTCGCATTGTAAGACGTGGAGCGACTCAAACCTCAAACAATATGGAAACCCAAATAACTATCAATATCTTTATACACATTTCCCTTTGATAGCAGGGAAAAATATCACAATATATAACTATATTGGAATATCGTAATGTCGTATTGTGACCAAAGCATCATGATGCATATCTTATCGCAACACCGTTGCCAAAACTCATCCTTACTATTGCATAGGGGTTATCTATTTGAAGCATAAACCTCTGATGGAAAACAAGCTTGATTTGGATTCTTTTGAAAACATGTAGATTAAGGATCTGTAAACAAACAAACTAATCAACAATCTTAGAAGCTAAGAGGTCTTGAAGCTGAAAATGTGAACTTTTATCATATATCTAAACGTAGTTCTTGTATCTCCTTATAGTTCTCAAAGTCATTTCAAATTGGACCAAACTCTTGAGAATGGTATACAAAATAAAACCTGGAAACTTTTCTAGGACTGGAAAAAAGAACATCCCTGAATTCCATACATTTCCAGGTACCCTCACATACATTACCTACTTAGATTCTTTAAAAGCTCACTACTCACAATTCAAAAATGTTGCTAACTTTGAGAAAAGCAAATTGTTACCTGATGCGCCCTGCATATTAGGTCCATGTCGTGTTTGTGCAAAAATTTGGCCACCACATCTGCCCCGAATGTGAAGGAGACTCCGCGATCGTTCTCCCCCCAGCCCAGCACGTCTTTATCCGGGTCGGCCCACAGCAGGTCGCACAGCAAACCCTGGTCGGGCACGTCTGTGGGCCGCATGACTCTGCGGATCTGCTCCATCGACTGAAGATCTGGAGAGAGACCTAGAGAAGTGCATGCAGAGAAATTCCTTTTAAATCATTTTACTTTTGATCTGCTCTTCTAAAACAATTTCTGTAGAGAAGAAACTCTACCTCCATGACAGCAGAAAATTTTCTCATCTACAATAGCAGCCACAGGTAAACAGTTGAAGCAGTCTGTGAAGGTCTTCCACAGCTTTATGTTATACCGTCGCTTACCTATCACCAGAGGAAAGGAAGCACAGATAAGCAGCGTTAGAATTACTCGTTTACATCTTAATGAAATATATTGAAGAGGGACTAATTAATGCTTACACTCATCATAAAAGCCATAGATTCGATTAATGGAGGCGCACTCATGGTTGCCACGCAGCAGGAAAAAGTTCTCGGGGTATTTGATCTTATAGGCAAGAAGGAGACAGATGGTTTCCAGGGACTGCTTCCCTCGGTCTACATAGTCGCCCAGAAACAGGTAGTTGCTCTCCGGAGGGAAGCCACCATATTCAAAAAGCCTGAGCAGATCATAGTACTGACCATGGACATCACCTGCAGGGGGCAGCAGAGGTGCATTATTGGAACACTGCATTGAGAGGCTCAGCATGCAGCATTTACAGTTAAATGAACCCTTGATTACAGATTAATAAACATTTATTTACATTTGTCCTGTGAATCATCACATTTATCATGCATGCTCCTTTGTTACCTTTGCACTTGTATTCTGCAACGTTTTAAACCATTTATGCAAACTGAACCCTCGGTTCACTGAAACTTACCACATATTTTTAAAGGGGCCTCTAATTCAAGCAGGATTGGCTGGCTCAGGAAGATTTCACGGGATTTGAGGCAAAGGCCACGGATCTCGTTCTCCGTTAGCTGAACGTTCTTTCCCGGCCGCGAGCCCTTAACTGGTACAAGACAGACAAAAAAAAAAAAAAGATATTTTTATGGAAGAAACATGACTGAGACAAATATCTTTAGAGAGATTGACATTCAGCACAGCAATCAAATGTGATGCTTTGATTTTGAAGCAGACCACCAGAATGGAGAGTTAACACCTCCCACAAGCCAAATGCTGTCAAATTCTGGTTGCAGCTCAGACTAGCAAACATTTCCACAGGTACTCGAATCTTTTAGGTTTTTATTTTGCCCTACATTTGCTGGAATTGAGACTAAACCAGTTTGAAAACAAAGCAGTTTATGAAGTAGCAAACTGAAAAGCCTGATACAGGGGAAGCATCTTGTTGTCAGCCTTAAAACGAGGTCACACAGTTTATATGGATGTTGAAGCCGAAGCTAAACAAACCACTTCCCCTTTAATCTGATGTTTCTGAAACAAATTATGCAAACACACAATTAAAGGCCTTTTAGTGCGATCATAGGAGACGGAACGGTTCAGATAGCACTCAAGCAAATCCACAGAATTTAATGAAAACAGGTTGTAATAAACCTAAGACTACATATTAACGTTACATCAATCTTACAGCAAGTGAACATTCTGTTCTGGCCTGATTCGCTTTGCCTTATCTCAGGAATTCAGCAGGTTTATCAAGTGTCTGCTTATCATGCATTTTCACATGCAACACACAGGGAATAGAGGGAAAACTGCCACTATGATCAACATAGAAACAGTCATTTTCCAGACCTTTTCCTACCTCTGACCCTCATCATATAATATTTCCACTGCACTAATAGAAAAGATGTGCCAGAGAACACATTTAAAGGAAAAAAAAGCAAAAGCATGTAATCAGACGGAAATCTGCCAGTGGTGAAGTCACAAGGAGGAACGCAGGAATGTTTGAGAAAAGGCATGTTTGTGTTCTGCGCCCTTAAGCGATTCTCCGCTGCCGTTTGGAACCAGGTTAGTTTGTATCAATGACAGATCAATATGCTGCTTTGTTCCAGGAGGAGCTTCCAACAAGCCCAGTCAAGGTTCTGTTTCCCAAACAAGAAGTGCAGCACAGGATCCTGACTAACCCATATCATACTACACAGAAAGAGGAAACAGACATTCAATAAGAACGTCGTTTAAAACCATTTCTCTTTGGGAGGAAAAGAAAAATTCAGAGAAGTCAATGATTATCCACTCAGCATAAACATCTTCAGCTGCTTACTAGTGATTCAACAAGATAAAATATAGGAAGATTATGTGCAAATCAACAAAGATTAAATAACAGCAGAGGAACTGTTATAATTTTTCCAAATATTATTACTTCTTAGAAAACCCAAAGCAATATTACCCATTTGGTATCATAGATACACATTCAGCCTTTATCTTGATAGTGAGACATTTTGTCTCAGCGAGACTTTCTGCAAAAGTGAAACTAAAAGCTAAACTATGTATAAACGCCTTTGAAATGTGATACTTTGCTGTAAATGTTTTCCAGGACAGCGATCCCAGCAAAATAAGCCAAGAGCCGCCACAGAAGTTGTAATATATCCAGCAGTTTATATTGTTACTTAGTTTAGGTAATATAAGTAGTATTTAACTCCCCTTTTGCACACATGGTGCAGCAAACATTAAGTATTATCTAATGCCATTACAGGGAGGGGTTAATCAATGTAAGAAGGATAATAGGTTTTTATTTCTCACTGTAATAAAAATCATCCTGACGACAGTTTGAAATATTATACCTAAAGTTTAGGTGTCAGCTCGTGTGTCTTGTAGTCTCTCTGGGGATATTTGGACAAAGTCAAAGTTAGCATCGCCTTCATTCTTGTGTTTAACTTTAAATTGCATGAACAAAATATTGACCTTTTTTTTCTGCTGATTATAAACAGACTTTTGCTGAATATCCTGATGTTAAGTTATACAAAAAAACCAGAGCACTGTAAGGACTGAATACATCAGAATAAAAGTCGAGGTGTGAAACAGCAGCAGGCTGCTACAGTCAGAGGAGAGGACTGCAGCTCTCCGTCACTTTTATATATGTTGGGAAGGATAAGAAAAAACATATTAAAGTTTGATTTCAGCTTTTTACTGACGGCTTAAAATAGAGCGGAAGAAAAATTTTTTTTAAAGATATCACCTATCAGAACTTTTATAATACATTATCAAAACTGCCAGCTGCATCATGATTGAGATTTGATACTTTTAACCAAACAGAAACCATTTTACAATAAAATAATACTACTGTAGGTTTATCATCTGTTGAGAGATCTCTCCCAGTGTTAACCATAACAATACCTCTATAACAAAATTATAAAAATATATTTATATTTTTTAGCAATGAAGCAATTTTGTAGATGTTCCTGAAAATACATGATTTTTTGATTGTTTAAATGATTTAGCCAAAACGGAAAGGTGAGTCAAACTAAAATGTGACAGCCTAATTAAAAACACAATTACATTCCCCTAGCATCCTTTAGTAAAATACACCCACACACACCAAAAAGCAAAGAAAAAAACAAACATATGAGAGCTTAATGTAAATTAGGGCATAAGGAGGGAGAAGAATATGTAAGCCCTATTTATTTCTAAACGCTCAAAATAAAACATATTTTTAAATGAGATGGCTGCAGAAACAAACAGGTCTGACCAGAGGTTGATGGTAGGAATCACCAAGTGGAGGAAGTAGGAAGATGCGACTGCAAAGGGACGAAAAAGGCAGGGAAAAGTGGATATAAATACCGCCCTGCTGCTTGCTGCTTTAAAGAGGGATTACCAAAGGCTAAGCCCCAACAGAGCTTACTCCAAAGTTAGCCTCAGAGTCAGTGGGCGACAGTGAGGGGTTCATACAAAAGGCTTTACACAACACAGACTAAGAGCTGAAAACAAAACGCTGGTGCAACAGGAAAACCATTTCTGTGGTTCAGCACAACGCAAGCCTGCTAGGGCCATCAGCAACGCTACCACAGTTTGCTTAGACTTAGATCTCTGCAAGTAATCCAATTGTGACTGCTAATTATCCAAATTAGTCCTAAAAACAAAGCAAGCAAACAGGAAGCTAACTTTGATGTTTACGCAAAAGGAAAATAAAAAATTATGAGTTTTATGCATTTCATCAGCTACAGTAAATGGTTTCCTTAAATTGTTTTTGATCAATGCGGATTCATACTAAAGTAATATAAGCAGGAGTTTGACCAACTAATAAAAGCAGAAGCACCAATAGGGGGGTGGAAGAAAAGTTGCATAACAGGATATAAATACTGCCACTATCAGGTCTGTTTGTTTTCTCCTGTGTTTGGCAGACAACCTTATCACGGTCCAAGTACAACAATCCATGCACAAACACTCCAGCATGTCCCGCAGTCAAAGTCAAACTCCGAACAGGCAATTTGACAGCCACATGAGGAGCGGCATAATCCCAATCACCTCCACCAGCTCAGACTGGGCTCATCAGGCAGCAGGCAGGCCCTAAATATTAGAAGGTAAACAAACTGAGGGCGCAGACTACATTTCATTACAGTCATGGCTGTAAGAAAACTCCACCTTAAACATTGTCTATCAATTTAAACTAAGCTCATAAAGTGCCAAGTTAAAGAATACAGAAAAATTCAAACTTAAAGTTTAGCGTGACTTATTAAAGCTCTAAAAAAGGTTTTCTCTAGATGCATTCAAATGCAAAAACCTAAATGTGGAAATGCCTTTCATGCTGCTTAAATGTTTTTATTACTGAGCAGCAAAATGGACCATTATCACTGAACCAAGGAGATAAAACCTGAGGAATTAGAACTAAAGCCTGTCAGCTTCATATTTCACCATCCTCAGATTTTTTTCCTCACAATAAACAGATTATTTACTGAAAGACAAAAATGAAATTCTGGTTTTAAAACTGAATCTTTCGTTAGTCTTTGCTTTAATCGTTTTAAAGCTATGGAGGATGCATTTTGTTTTACTGTATTTGTCGTCTATAGAGAGTTTGAAGCCTCTAACCGGCTAAAGCAGACTGAAAAAGACACACGGTTGTTGACATGTTTAGAGTTGGATGAGATATTTCTGGGTAATAGTGACTGGTGTTTGGATTTCATACATAAGCGGAATTTCAATTAGAAAAAAATGCAGCAATGTTTCCATGAAACTGAAAGAAAAACAAAAACTATTTTAACACCATTTCTTTAACATCAAAATACAACCCCGGAATTTTTAAATTAAATCTGGACCTGGATCAGATATCAGTGCACTTTACATGGAACTGTTAAAATACACAAAATCACGAGCCTTAGGTCAGCCCCAAACGGAAATAAAAAAATACGTCCACTACACTTTTTATAAATAGGGTAAGCAATAGATATTAAAAATTACTATTTAACAAGCATACATTACTTCTGAATTTTGATATCAGATCCAAACTAAACTGGGATGTAGATGCATATTTATTTTCAGGTGTAGACCTTTTTTTTTTACTGTTTACCAGCAGGTATATTCTCTGCCTCTACAGTTCAGAAAAATTGGCAGGACACTAAAAGTGCATAGAACATCCAGACCTTGTCTTATCTCTAGACAGAAAGTATTTCAATAGTTTTTAACACATCGGCGTTTGAAAACCCTGAAAAATCTTTACACACGACTCATTAATAGAGTAAGGAGATGTTCTTCCACCATGTTTGTTTTTGAAAGAACAGTGCATGCAGAGCCAGCGGGTGACTGGAGGCTAACTCCTGACTCAGTTAAAAAAACACAACCACAAACATGGAGGTCATGAACAATCCTGCAGCTATCAAAACCCTAAAAGAACTTCATACGTATGGAACTTCATCCATACATTACATGATAGCAATAAAAATGACTCCTAACATAAATGTTTGGGGTTGTTTAAAGATATTCTTAGCCGACACAGCCTCAGGGAAGACTGCTGCCATGAGGTTATCTGCATCAGAACACATTTCCAGAAGGTTGAGTGGAAGAAAAAGAGCTGTAAAAAAGGGGGAGCACACTTAAGGTGGTACGTGGCATCTCTGATGCAGCTAAATGGGGTACAGATACAAATATTAAAAAACTTTTTTGCATGCCCCACTTTCTCTCCTTATCCATTTCCTGTCTAATAGCGGCGGGAGGGAAAAAATGCTACTAGTAACACAAAAAAGGAAGCATAAACAATAGTGATAACATGTCCATGAAAATGGCTGTGAAACAAGATCCATTATAGAGTTTCGAATAGATAGACAAGGCATGAGCTGCAGCTGGAGCCTTTAAGTGTCACGACAGCTGATGCTGGAGGGATACCACAGACGTGGGAATAAAGGATACCAAGATGGTTAAAGCTGCTTTTAAAGCAATCTGGGCTTCCTTAATGCACCAGCAGAATCACAGCCACAATGCCTCAAAGAGGCGTCAACGCCGCATGTCATGCAAAAGGAACACAGTATACAGACATGCTTTTTAGGAGAGCCACACTTTCTTTAGATAATCCGGATGTTTCCTTTGTCATGTAGAACTTTTCAAAAGGAACCTATTTTTGAGCTTCCCTTTGTGTAAAGCTCAGGCTGGGCAGTAAAACAACAAGTTTCTTAGTAGAATTCTGACCAACAAGAGAAAATACACACTTAATGCACTGACTGTCTAAGTTACAACGACAATTAGTTAGTTCCCCCCACAATCTCATTCAAGCAAGAAAAACAAACAGATATTTAAGCAAATAAGAACATACTGACAGAGGTAGTCGGTTGTTTTTTGCTTATAAGTTCTACGTGTGAGCAGGTGTCCAGGACATCTTTGCTCTGATGGTTCCCAGTTATGCGTCACCCAAATAAACATAAGATAGAAAACACACCTACAGGACACATGAGCTGATAGTGGCATGATTTGGCGGTTTTGTCAGAGACATGTTTGACATTTTCCTTGTGTTGTTACCACTGAGACACACAAAGCACACCTGTATGACACCCTGCAGCGCACAGAGGAGATCAAACAATAAATGAATGAAGCTGAGATCTCTAGTGAAGCACTGAGCTCAGAAAAAAAAAAATAATTGGCAGTTAGTTTACTCCACAGAGCATTATGGCCTACAACCACTATGCAGGACATTTTCTGCAAAACTGCAGCGAAATGGTTGACCTCTTTTATAGCCCTAGTCTGTATTCTGCGCATTTCTAATATCCGACCTTCTACATTTGCTTTGAACAGGGATAATTCTGGAAAGGGGGGGAATAATGTCAAACTTATTTTTCTTTAAGGTACATCTGGTACGCTCTTTTAGTCCCAAAAACAAAAATAATATTAAATAGAACAATGATACACAACATGAGCATACTAAGCATTTCCAGTAAATTATTGAAGTGGGTTAAGCCCTGGTTCTATTTCTGCAAGTGTGGGGAACTGACTTCAGTAGAAATAAATAATACCTATACATCAATCCAAGACTGGAAACTGAATATTTAGCCTTTGTCAGTTCTAATGGGTTAGGTCAAATACTGAAATTGTTTTGTCATTCAAAAAAAATAAATCTTTTTTCTTTTATAGCTGTTAAATCCAAATTATCAGCTCCATCAAAGATGGCGCCTCTAACGCAGCAGGTCAGGCCTCAAAGGAAACTGGAAATAGATTCATTCAGGAAAAGTCTGATGGTGCATCTCTACAAGTATAAACTTTGACGCCATAGCACATGAAAATGAAAGGCACAAACAAAACAATTTATTTTACATTACTTCCCTGAAGTTAAATAATCCTTTTTCATTAAATTTTCTTTTTTTTTATGCAAAAATTAAGGAACTTGAAAATGTTATTTTCAAGTATTTTTATTTTTTACATAGATGACTGAATGCTGTTTGTAAATATTTCTAAATATTGATTTGTTCACTTGATCATCTCTATTTTTGCTAATAAAGAAGGGTTGTAGCGTTTGCAGTTTTATGGCCATTCGCTGATCTTGATCAATGCACATCTTTTTATGTGACTGATACTGTCACTTCTAAGATCACGAGGCACCTTCAATGTAATATCAGTGTAAGACATTAACCAGCACCTGTGAAACAAATACTTATAAAAAATGCTCTCTAATATGAATCTCTAATATGGAGCATCGACAGTGGGTGATATTCAGATCTTTACAGAGGAAGTAAAGATTGGTTTCAAATTTAAGCATGTGCCGATCCATTTAGAAGAAAAAGGAGTGGTCTCCTGGAAACATGGGAGTTTAAAACTCCAGTTAGTTCAGCTTCGAGTCATCTTTTTTTCTCTATTGCTTATCTCAGTTATGTGTAAGTGTCATGCACAGTTTCTCTTTTAGTCTCCATTTACAGCTTGCTCATTGTTTCTGTTCAAGAGCATCGTCAGGTCTTTTAGCCATGGCGTTATGCCCTTACTCCATCAGCTAATGTTCCTACAGCTAGCAATGCTACTAACGTTTACAAGTCTTTACACCGGCCAAAGGCAAGAACTGTGGGTCAAAGATAAACAGTCATAAACCACCACCACCTCCTCCTGCGTTAGTAAACAAGGAAGGCATCTATGTTTGCAGGATCAAAGATAAAAATATCTTAAATGCATGTAACTATCCAGTGGTTGAGGAAAATATTTCAATAAAAGACAAGAGGAAGTAAAATATAACCATATTTCAATATTTTTTCCATGCAACTTTCATTAAAATTTTACTTTAATACAAAATAAAGAAAATAGAAACATCCCTTATGATTTCGATAGACTGAAATAGTTGATTTTCTTTTTGTTTTTCTATGCAAAAATGAACAGAAAAAAAAAAGTAACTTTTATCGTATGATCAGTCACAGGAGATTAGAGAAAAACCATCTGGTTCTGCTCTCCGACCAATTTGATCAGTAGATTAATACTTATGACTCGTTTTATAAAGAGGGACAGTTAAGGCTGCAACGTTGTTTACCATTAGGCTTACCAATATCTATCATTTGTGAACGATGTATTCAGTAAAGCGCAATATTCTCCATAAACAAGCGTCTTTTCTCAAACTATTAGGAAGCAATAATACTAACTAACTTTTTTCCTTTCATTTAACTTTATATTTATGTTTGTGGCTACAAAACTTTGAGTTGTCAGTGTATTAAAAGGTTAAAAAAGGTATTTTGTGGCCCAACCTCATGAAAATCTAAATGATGGGTTCCCTAAAGTTGTAAACAATAATAAAACCCTAACAGACAAATATTCTCTCATATATATATCTTGTGCATCTATGAGTTTTACTTTACTCAACCTTTCTTTCATATTTTAAACCACCTAAATGCACACAGTTGAGTTTTATAGTGCATACCACAAACAGCAATCATGATAAAAATTTGAAATTTATATTGATTTCTGATCTCATCGTTGGTAAATAGGTTACATTAAACACATTTATCAATACATTCAATTATAATCTAACTTAATGCTTCAATCTATTGGTCTTCTTTAAACATAACATGCTGAAAGAAGTAAAAAAAACTGTTTTAAAGAAGTTTTAAAAAAAGAGATTGATAACAATAGATGTCCATAAAGTCAGCAGATGTAATTTATCTTCATACGTCACAGCAGCGTCACGCTTTTTCCTAATTTCCCCACTGAAATTTATTTTCAATGAAAACAAAAGGGGAGTAGGATGCGATCAAAGGGAGATTCTGTTCAGTCACATAAAAATAAATAAATAAATAAAAGCATCGTTGATTTAAAACAGACAAAATGCAACCCTAGGAAAAAAAGAACCACCAGTCTGATGTAGCCTACTTTACCACCATAGACCGCCATCGGCTTTTACTGATCTCCAAAGAAATGGTGTGAAAAATAAAATGACCACAAAATCAGAGAGGAAAAAAAATGTGTTTCTGCTCCCAACTCCTCTTACCTTCCAGCAGACGTTGAATTATAGAGTCGATGTTTAATTTGTCCGGCTCCGCCATTTTCTGACGTTATCGGGAAGTGAGAGCTCGGTTTTATGCGTCGCACCTTTTTAAAATTCAAAAGAGAGAAGAAGACAAGATGGGCCAAAGGTTACTTTTTACAGATGTCACCGGTCGAGTTCAGAAGCAAACGACGCCAACAAATCGAGCAACATGAGCATAATCAATGAGCTAATCCGAGCTAAAGCTGCTACTTTTTTTAGTAGCATCGGCACAACTGTACCGCGGCTGCCAAGCTCTGTAATAACATGTTAAGCTCATAAAATATCCCCGAACCTTTTTCTTCGGAGCCGTACCTGTCCTCCCGGTACGAAAAACGAGGGGATATGTATGAACAAGGTTAAATGTTAGCCCCTTTCCTCCTGCTTTGTCCGGCTCTCTCCACACTCTCCCCCCCAGGAACTTTAAAAGAGGGCCGCTTGAGCCGAGCGTCTACGGCTACATACGAGGTTGAGTTAAACCCAATACGTTAGAGCTGTCTTAGAAGTTGATTGGCCAACCCGCTCAACCTTTTGCATCTGATTGGGTAATTGATATGTCTGTCTGAATCTAAGCTCCGCCCAAAGGAATCTTAACGGCTATCCAGTCGAGCCTCTTTTCAGTTTATATCGCGCCCTCTGGCGTTAACATCTGTAATTACAATTCTTTATGGCTATGGGAAGCGGTGGGTTTTTGTTTAGATTTTTGTGAATGTGATTAAAATATTTTAAAGTTCTGGTACGTGCTCAGATGTAATAATAATAATGAAGTGACATATTGTGTATTTTTAAAAGTTCCCTTATTGAACTTTGTTTCAAAAATCAAAAATTGACAAACAAGGCAAAAAACGAAAATGGAATTTTAAACAAAATGGACTGTGCAGTAAAGAAAAAAAACATTTTGGGAAAGTTAACACAGGGTATTTATTAAATCATAAATGCAAAGATAAAAAAAATCAAGATAAGAAAAATAGCAGCCTATTTACAGCTTAAAAATGCAGCAGTAGAAATGTCATCATGAATATAAACAGTTATGGAGGGAATAATATATTTAGCTAGCACAGTCAAAGGCTGCTCCACGGAAAAAGGTCTCTGATCTTGATTTAGGGCAGGGGTGAGTAACTCCAGTGCTTGAGGGCCGGTTTCCTGCAACATTTAGATTCATCCTTGGTCAAACATACCTGAATCAACTGTTTGAATTACCTTCCCAGTATACAATCAATTTCTCCACAGTCCTTTCAGGTGTGTTAAGTGAAGGACATATCTAAAAGTTCCAGGATACAGGCCCTTCAGGACTGGAGTTGCCTACCCCACATTTAGAGGAACTTGAGCTTTAGCACTTTTACAGTTTCCTGAAAGTTTGTTCCAGATTAGTTACACATGGGAACCAAAAGATTTAAACCAGAAGACCTGAGGGGTCTGGGTGGTTAATACACTGACAATAAATCTGTAATGTATTTTGCCACTAAGCCTTTAAGTGCTCAATGGACTAACATAGGTATTTTAAGGGAATTCTCTGAGATCGTAAGCAAGTATAAGGACTTTAGAACTGGGGTGATGTGCTCCACTTTCTTAAAGATGCCTTTTCTTACGAGGTCTCTTTAACAGACAGAATAACCGGAAAGCATGCTTTCAAAACTAACAGGAAAGTGGTCAGATAAAGCAACATTAGACACAGACACCTTGAAAATGTTTAGACCCTTCATGATAATGAAGTCCAAAATATGTTGGTCTTTGTGCATTTGCTGTATCCCATAGTTGTATTGCACTTTTGTCTTCAGGATTGTTAATGCGGCACTATCTCCAAAAATAATTAAACAGCCATCATTCACACATATCACAGATTAAAGGTCATTAAAATAACTGAAAAGTTTGCTATGAACTTGTAAATGTTCAAAAACATGGTTTAAACCAGGCATCCCCAACCTCGGTCCTCGAGGCCCGCTGTCCTGCAGGTTTTAGAGGTTTCCCTGCTTTAGCACAGCTGATTGTGATGATTGCAGTAGACCAAAAGCCAGTTAATCAACTATCAATTCAAATCAGCTGTGCTGGTATAGGGAAACCTGTAAAACCTGCAGGACAGCGGGCCTCGAGGACCGAGGTCAGGGATGCCTGATTTAAACCATTTAACTGAAATATCAAAAGACTTAAATTTGCTCAGAAAGTTGGACCCAGAATTCAGGCAAGACAGACAATGGAATACTAAAGTATTTATATCGATAAAAAAAGAAGCAGAGAACTGTGAACACCAAAGGCTCAAGAATAATCTGGCCCTGATGGTTGGGACCAAGGAGTTTAAATAGAAGCAGGAGCAGGTGGGTCAGATAAGCAGTGATGAGAAGCAGGGCAGAGGTCGACAGGTGAAGTAAATGAGCAATCAAGCCAGCCATCAGCGCCAAAATCATGACAAAATCTTTACCAAAGTGGCCACCCCTCCACATTTAATCTGTTCTCAGAAAGATTGTAGTTCAGTGGTGTCTACTCGAAAAAAATGAAGTCTTGTTAAATTAATTTAGCCATGTTTCTGTTAAAACATAACATCACGGTAATGGTCAATAATGTACTCAGTCATTGGAAATGATTTTCCTAACAGGGATTTATAAAGCCATTTATAGCACTTGGCTGATATTAACTCTCTGTCTGGTTGTACAAAACAATATGATTTAAAAATTTGATCGCTTATTATGATCTCTTATCCTATTTAGCTGTGTGCTTATTTTACAACTAACCCCCATCAGAGACCCAAGTTGATACTTGAAATGATCTTTTCTGATAGAGCTGCCAGTGGGGTCACGTCTGTATCACAGAAAGACTATTTGAAGAAAGCTTTAAATTGTTTTGAATTTATATATATATATATATATATATATATATAATTTGTTTTTAGCATTGGTTTGCAAGTTTAGTTTCAATTGCATTTGATTTTTTTTAGAATGCTTAGTTTCAGTTTAGTTTTTATTAGTGTCACTTTAACAAATGAGCTGACTGCCAAACTTGCATGCAGTACTAGACCTCATATTAATGCTTTAGGACAAAGACAGAAACAAAATCTAAGCACATTCTCTCTTAAAATTCTGTTATATTAAATTACTTTAGTAAACCTTTATTACAGATTCCTTTAGTTTTTCGGGTTTTTCCAGGTGTTTTTTAAATTTTTATATTAATTACCGGTAACAATTTTTTTTTATTTCAATAGTTTTAGCTAAAGATAATAACTTTGATTTGAAGGTCCTGATCTGGTGAAACATAGATTAGGTGGGGCTGTGTGGCTTTTTGACACTATTGGTTTTAGCAGTGAGGCCTGAGCTATGCCAGGGGGTAGATGAAAATTTAAAGACAACATTTAAATATATATATATATATATATATATATTATAAATATCTACCAATTTTGAACTGTTTGTCCATTAAGGTCAAGGCGGGCCAATGGCAGGGTACACCCTTGACAGGTAACCAGTCCATCATAGGGCAACACAAAGACACACGACCATGCACACAATCATAACCGGCGACAATCTAAAGACATTGTTGGAGCTATTTATGCTTTATATCTTTATACATTTGAATTGTGTTATTTTTAAATTTTTTTTTTTTGTTTTGTTTTGAGCTAAGACCGGAATTAATGTGGATCAATCCACTTTCTATAAAAGTAGGGGCCTGGAAAAGGACCAGCAGGCATTTTTGGTTTTTCGACCTATGGTTTTTACCAGAGCAAGAGAGGTACTGTAGCAGAAAGAACAAAGGTAAATTTGAACTCTTGCTGAAATAGGAAAATAAGGAATCCAGAAGAATCATCAAGTTGGGACATTACACCTTATTTTGCCTGTGTACAGAAACTTGACCCCAGTGCCTTAGTAGTGGCTTAATGGAACCTTTTTTGGACGTTTCACCTGGCAAACAATCGCTACTACAGACATTAATCAACCTTACAGTCATGTTTTTGGTTTACTGGAGGAAGCTGGAGTACCCAGAGATAACCAACACATGTAAAACAGTGGAGTACACACCTGTGGATTGGACCTCTGACCTTTTTACTGCAAGGCAACAGTGCTACATACTCTCCCAGTGCGGCTTTGTACAGATCTTAATGACACAACATATAACAACATACTCTCCCCTATGCATGTAAGATACCTAAAGCTTTAAAGTTAAAATCCTAGATCAGCTGCTCTTGTTCGTAAAATACTTAGAAATCCAACAATTAAAAGATAATAAAACCCCGTTATCGGGTTCGTTTGCTTGTCTAACATTTCAGAAAAGCTGTTTTTGTTTGCCACATTTCAATCTCTGCAGATCAGGTAGTGCCGACTACTGTAACAGAGAGTAGGTATGATTAAAAATAGATATTCATGACTTGCTTAAACCAAACAACAGTAAAATAACATGTTTGGAACTTTACAGAAAAAAACAGCCTCCCAGAAAAGATCAACTAAATTAAAATATACATATGCAGTGACTGAAAACTGATAGATGAACCCTCATCTATATTTTCTAAATAAATCACTGAAGACAGAGCAGCTTTTCAAGAGGCCTTTGCTAATAATTCTAAACACATATTCATACATCAGTACTGTTGAAATTAATGGGTTCTGCATAATATATACATTCAATAGGTTAAACTTTTATTTATATCTCCTAGATGACTTCCCATACATCTTTATTTGTAGTAGTTCTGTGAATACATTTACTATATTATTTTTGGTCAATTTACTTAAAAATGTCAAAGTACAATATTTCACACGATTGTTTCAGTGCTGCCACCTTCTGGTTTAGAAGAGAACTGCTTGTTTCAGAGGTGGTGAATTACATCCACATGGGAAGGTCACTATGTTGAGATGAAAATTTGTTCAGATACAAAAAAAAAAAAAAAAAAAGAAGCACTTTCAGACTAGTATTTCGCAAATTTTTTAAACTATTTTATTACGAGAATTGGGAACCTGGGGACATAAACTGACTGATGCTCCAAAAGCTTACTGCACAGACAGCAGTGAAGAATTACCTTTGAAGCGTGAAAGAGTAGCAGCAGATAGAAAAGAGGATTTTAGGGTTTATGGACACTACCTGGTTCCTAAATTATTTCAACCCTAGAATTAGTTGCAAAGCATTTATTTTATAATAATGTGTTTTTATAAATTTAATAAACAAATAAAAGGGGGACAGTTAGAAGAAACCATTAAAAACCATGTCTTAAAGCATAGGAACATAAAACAGGAAAGATAAGGTTCAGGCAAAGGTGTCTGAGGTGTCTGAGATTTGATTAACATACTTTGGGCATAATATATCTAAAAAGAAAAAAAAACAAAACAAGTATATTTTGGCCAAATTTGAAAAGGAATGGAACCAATAAGCTTTAGGTGAATGGGTAGAAATTCATTAGACCTAAAATAATCTTTAATTTCTATTTGGTTTTATATTTCTGTCCAGCGGTACGATTAATAGACTTCCTGTTGATTATCTAATCTATGCTGATGATTTGGTCACTCTCCTTGTAGATAACACAGATCTGAAGCAATCACTTAGAGACTGAGCTGTTTGGTGTCCAGCATTTAATTGTGTTAAACACTTTATGCAAATTGAATCGGTTCAATTTACATGTTTTAACATGCAACAGCAAGGCTTTCTTTTGGGCTACTATATAAAGCTGAAACTCTATGCTAATTCTGACATTTTGAATTGGAAAAGCTTCCTGGATGGGAAGCGAAACATCTTTAAACTTGGAAACAAAGTCCTGTGGATTGTTCTTTAACTTTTTTGGAATATAGGCTTAGACTGCTGGAAGACATAGGGACCCCTTTTTCATCATTCTGTCTCTATTCTCCCATTCTTCAGTATTTGTTAGTTCAACCTCTAACGTTATGCTCTCTCTGCTTTAGTTGCTTAGTAGCTTCATCTGGTCTG